TTTCAGTGAAGATGTAAAAAGTTTATATTATTTAACCTTAAGTAAAGTACGTTAATTTCTGAATTTCAAGTAAAGATTTATGAATTAAATTACCAGTAGAAATTTGCTTCATTTGAGATGAATGCATGACTTTGATAGAAATTTACCTATAGTACTTAGTATTTTCTTTTTATATATTTCAGCCTTTACCACACATATATATATTCACATCCACACGATAATGAATAAAGCTGATTAAACTGTCTGATAGTAATTGTGTTTGTTCACTTTTACGAGGCAGAACATTGCTTCTTTAAGGATATAAATATTTCAAATGGTTTACTTATATTTATACGTATTGGTTCTAGTTCCTCGGGCTCTTTAAATGCAAATATAGTTCATATAATTATATATTATTACTAAAGGATAGAACATAATAATTCACAAAAGGCGTTTATAAAAGCTAAAAGAACAGTGTACAATATAAAAGAGGAATGTCCAATCATTCCTGTTTATTATGGCTCTTTTGGTCATTTTAGTGGTTAAACTGGTACATAAAAATCAAGGCAAATTTTTATAAATGGACAATTCTTTATTAAAATCATTGAAATATCAAAAGCAATTTTATTAACAGATCAAATATTTACATACACAATTCACATTTCTAAATTAACTTCTGATATATCTAACACTTCTTGACCACAATTATTCTGCTACAACATAATGTTCGGTGCCCGAACATTTTGTGAAATGAAAAATAAATGAATTACTTCATTGACTAGACTAAATCATCAAATCAAAGTTTTAACTAAAAATGTTAGGGCACCGAACAATTTCCAAATTAAAACAAAGATTAACTGACAATAAACCGAAGCATTAAATACAAGATTTCATTCAAAATGTTAGGGCACCGAACATTTTGCAAAAAATGATTTACTAAAGATGGACGCAAGTGTTTAGTCAATGTTTTAACTAAAAATGTTAGGGCACCGAACAATTTCCAAATTAAAACAATGATTTACTGACAATAGACCGATGCATTAAATACAAGTTTTCATTCAAAATGTTCGGGCACCGAACAATTTCCAAATTAAAAAATGATATACTGACGATAGACTTAAGTGTTAAATCAATGTTTTAACTAAAAATGTTAGGGCACCGAACAATTTCCAAATTAAAACAAAGATTAACTGACAAAAGATCGGGCTTGTTAAAAATCGGGCACCGAACAATTTCCAAAATAAAACAAAGATTAACTGACAATAGACCGAAGCATTAAATACAAGTTTTCATTCAAAATGTTCGGGCACCGAACAATTTACAAATTAAAAAAATATTTACTGACGATAGACTTAATTGTTAAATCAATGTTTTAACTAAAAATGTTAGGGCACCGAACAATTTCCAAATTAAAACAAAGATTAACTGACAATAGACCGAAGCATTGAATACAAGTTTTCATTCAAAATGTTCGGGCACCGAACAATTTCCAAAATAAAAAAAAGATTTACTGACGATGGGCTTAAGTGTTTAATCAATGTTTTAACTAAAAATGTTAAGGCACCGAATAATTTCCAAATTAAAACAAAGATTTACGGACAATAGACCGAAGCATTAAATACAAGTTTTCATTCAAAATGTTCGGGCACCGAACAATTTACAAATTAAAAAATGATTTACTGACGATGGGCTTAAGTGTTTAATCAATGTTTTAACTAAAAATGTTAGGGCACCGAACAATTTCCAAATTAAAACAAAGATTTACTGACAATAGACCGAAGCATTAAATACAAGTTTTCATTCAAAATGTTCGGGCACCGAACAATTTACAAATTAAAAAATGATTTACTGACGATAGACTTAAGTGTTTAATCAATGTTTTAACTAAAAATGTTAGGGCACCGAACAATTTCCAAATTAAAACAAAGATTTACTGACAATAGACCGAAGCATTAAATACAAGTTTTCATTCAAAATGTTCGGGTACCGAACAATTTACAAATTAAAAAAATATTTACTGACGATAGACTTAATTGTTAAATCAATGTTTTAACTAAAAATGTTAGGGCACCGAACAATTTCCAAATTAAAACAAAGATTTACTGACAATAGACCGAAGCATTGAATACAAGTTTTCATTCAAAATGTTCGGGCACCGAACAATTTCCAAAATAAAAAAAAGATTTACTGACGATGGGCTTAAGTGTTTAATCAATGTTTTAACTAAAAATGTTAGGGCACCGAACAATTTCCAAATTAAAACAAAGATTTACGGACAATAGACCGAAGCATTAAATACAAGTTTTCATTCAAAATGTTCGGGCACCGAACAATTTACAAATTAAAAAATGATTTACTGACGATGGGCTTAAGTGTTTAATCAATGTTTTAACTAAAAATGTTAGGGCACCGAACAATTTCCAAATTAAAACAAAGATTAACTGACAAAAGACCGAAGCATTAAATACAAGTTTTCATTCAAAATGTTAGGGCACCAAACAATTTACAAATTAAAAAAAAGATTTACTGACGATAGACTTAAGTGTTTCATCAATGTTTTAACTTAAAATGTTAGGGTACCGAACAATTTCCAAATTAAAACAAAGATTTACTGACAATAGACCGAAGCATTAAATACAAGTTTTCATTCAAAATGTTAGGGCACCGAACATTTTGCAAATTAAAAAAAAAGATTTACTGATGATGGACTTTAATGTTTAATCAATGCTTTTACTAAAAATGTTAGGGCACCGAACATTTTGCAAATTAAAACAAAGATTTACTGACAATAGACTGAAGCAAGTTTAAATACAAGTTTTCATTTAAAAAGTTAGGGCACCAAACAATTTACAGAACTACAATATACCATGTACAAAATATATAAAAGGGACTTTTTTTAAGCATTAAAGAATTCACTAATGGAAAATTTAGGGCACCGAACATTTTGTAAAATTTCAAAAATTACTTTCTTTATTTCAAATAAGTTTTAAAAATCATAAAAACTTAATGACTTTGAAAAAAAAAATGTTCAGCACTTTTGCAAAATTAGAAACAAAGGCAAAAAGAAATGAATTATTGTAAATCAGTGTTTTAATTCAAAATGTTTGGACGTAAAACAATTAACAAGTTAAAAAAAAAGATTTACCGACAATCGATAGAACCATTAAATACAAGTTTTCATTCAAAATGTTAAAGCACCGAAAATTTTGGAAATTAAAACAAGAGCATCGCTAGTTGGAGCATTATATGCCCGAAAGTGTTTTTTTTTTAGTAAGGATGAAGCATTTGTAAGACATGGGAATTAAAATGTTTTACTTAAACAGATGGACAGAAAGACGCCAGGGATATAACATGATATAAGCAAAATTTTTTTAGGACATATAATTAATGTAATCAATATAAGCTGTAGGTTGATTAATACTCAAGTTATTGAGCGAAAACCATTTTCAGTGACCTTGACCTTGTGACCCAAAATTATTAGGGGTCTTCTACACAATACTGACAATCATCCAATGAAGTTTGAACACTGTGGGCGAAATGGAACTTTAGTTATGCTCAAGAAACCACAATTTTCAGTGTAAGGATCATTGTGACCCTGACCTTTGACCTTAAGACCTCAAAATTAATAGGGGACTTCTACCTAATATGGACAATCATCCTATGAAGTTTGAATATTGTGGGCCAAATGGAACATAAGTTATGCTCCGGAAACTGTTTTCAGTTTTAAGATAATAGTGACCTTGACTTTTGACCTTGTGACCCCAAAATCAATAGGGGTGTTCTACTCAATATGGACAATCATCCTATGAAGTTTGAATATTGTGGGCCAAAAGGAACATAAGTTAAGCTCTGGAAACTGTTTTCAGTTTTAAGGTAATAGTGACCTTGACTTTTGACCTTGTGACCCCAAAATCAATAGGGGTGTTCTACTCAATATGGACAATCATCCTATGAAGTTTGAATATTGTGGGCCAAAAGGAACATAAGTTAAGCTCTGGAAACTGTTTTCAGTTTTAAGGTAATAGTGACCTTGACCTTTTCTTGTGACCAAAAAATCAATAGGGGTCTTCTACTCAATATGAACAATCATCCTATATGTTAAAGTATTGTGGGCCTAATGGAACTGTAGTGTCAAGGTAATAGTGACCTTGACCTTTGACCTTGTGACACCAAAATCAATAGGGGTCTTCTTCCCAATATTGACAATCATCCTATGAAGTTTGAATATTGTTGGCCAAATGGAACTTAAGTTATGCTCTGGAAACTGTTTTCAGTGTTAAGCTAATAGTGACCTTGACCTTTGACCTTGTGACCCCAAAATCAATATGGGTCTTCTACCCAATATGGACAATCATCCTATGAAGTTTGTTTATTGTGGGCCAAATGGAACTTAAGTTATGCTCTGAAAATGTTTTCAGTGTCAAGGTCATAGTGACATTGACCTTTGACCTTGTGACCTCAAAATCAATAGGGGTCTTCTACCCAATATGGACAATCATCCTATGAAGTTTGTATATTGTGGGCCAAATTGAACTTAAGTTATGCTCCGGAAACTGTTTTCAGTGTTAGGTAATAGTGACCTTGACCTTTGACCTTGCGACCCCAAAATCAATAGGGGTCTTTAATTCAATATGGACAATTATCCTATGAAGTTTGAATATTGTTGGCCAAATGGAACTTAAGTTATGCTTCGGAAACTGTTTTCAGTGTCAAAGTCATAGTGACCTTGACCTTTGACCTCAAAATCAATAGGGGTCTTCTACCCAGTATGGACAATCATCCTATGAAGTTTGTTTATTGTGGGCCAAATGGAACTTAAGGTATGCTCTGGAAACTGTTTTCAGTGTTAGGCAATAGTGACCTTGACCTTTGACCTTGTGACCCCAAAATCAATAGGGGTCTTTTAAACAATATGGACAATCATCCTATGAAGTTTGAATATTTTGGGCTGAATGGAACTTAGGTCATGCTCCGGCAACCAAATTGCTAACGGACGGACGGACAGACAGAAGGATGCCATGGGGTATAACATTATTTTACATAATATGCCCGAAAAAAAGATTTACTGACAATAGATAGAAGCATTTAAATACAAGTTTTCATTCAAAATGTTACAGCAGAGAACATTTTACAAAATGAAAAAAGAATTATATTCTTACAGTCTAAAGCATTAAAACAAATTTACAGATATATAAATATAATTCTAACACATCTACAATTTTTCTAACATATGTACAGTATAAGTTAGTCTTCTACAATTAAAAATGTAATGGCATTTTACAGACTTTAAAAATTGACTGAAAAACTTGCAATGATGTTTTTGAAAAAAAAAACAAAAAAAAACTACAACATTTAACTAGGTTTGATCAAACAGAACAAGAATACTTACTAACATTTGGCAGACTTGAAATTAAAAAAAAGGCTTTCTTACATGTTACAAGACAAAACAGTTTTCAAAGTTTCATGAAAATCAAGGGTTGTTTAAATGTTTGATGAAATGCTACTAGCTTAATGTTTGGCCACCTACTATATAACCAAGAGTAAAAATATTTAGTTCCGCCTTATTGAATTCCCGGAGGTACATCAACAAAAAAGACTAAGCATTTTCTACTTATATAAGAAGCAATAATTATTTATTTTAAAAGTACAAAACACACTTTTCTACACAAATATTACTCCGATGAAAATTAATGTCAGCAATGTAAGCAACAAGGCACAGATATCGCCGAAGATTAACGAGAGCGTGAAAATCAGAGACTCAATATGTGAAATATGAAGACTTTGTAATAAGTAGTAACCATAATAATAAGTGGAAATCATATAACCATTCAAGGCCCCTGTGACCTTGACATTTTACTTAGTGACCCAAAAATCAATAGGGGTCATCTACTAGTTACGACCAATTAATATGTGATATATGAAGACTTTGTGATGAATTATAACAAAGATAATGAGCAGAAGCCATTCTGACATTTGAGGCCCCTGTGACCTTGACCTTTGACGTAATGACCCAAAAATCAATAGGGGTCATCTACTAGTTATGACCAATCAATATGTGAAATATGAAGACTATGTGATGAATTCTTTTCAAGATAATCAGCAGAAACCCTTCTGACATTTAAGGCCTCTGTGACCTTGACCTTTGACCTAGTGACTTCAAAATCAATAGAAGTCATCTACTATAACGACCAATCACTATGTGAAGTATGACGACTTTGTGATGAATACTTTACAAGATAATCAGCGACACCATTTTGACATTTAAGGCCCCTGTGACCTTGACCTAGTGACCCCAAAAACGATAGGGGTCATCTTCTAGATATGACCAATTAATATGTGAAATATGAAGACTTTATGATGAATTATTTTCAAGAAAATCAGCGGAAACTATTCTGACATTTAAGGCTCCTGTGACCTTGACCTTTGACCTAGTGAACCCAAAATCAATATGGGTCATCTACTAGTTATGACCAATCATTATGTGAAATATTAGACTATATGATAAATATTTTTCAAGATAATAAGTGGAAACCATGTGGTCTACCGACGGACTGACATTAGCAAAACAATATACCCCCCCTCCTTCAAAGGGGGTAGGGGCATACAAATTCAACACATCATTTCTCCCCAATGAGATATATCCATCTATAATGTATTAAGTTTCACTAACATGTAGATATCTGCTTTTGATGGATGGATAGATGGACATTCCGACCCATTTATTTAGTTGTTAAAATGTTATGAAAACATAATGATTCTTGGTGTTTTACTGCATACTATTGTTTGTTCATTCAACATGTTACACATGCACTTTTTGCACTAAAATTGCACCTGTCAACATCTCTCTTTAAAGCCATATAGATATAGTTAACAAACAATATTCAACAACCATCTTCAGTATCAAATGGAAGTTTCAACAAAACTTATGCAAAGTTTAAGCACATGTTCCATCCAAACATGTTTCTGTTCCTCTAAGATGAATAGGGAAAATCTTCTTAACAACAATATCTGAAAATAAACAAAAAAAAACTATTTTACTTTTTTTATATTTCACAATTTGATGAATACAGTACTTCATATTCAATTTATATACTGTGACATTGATTAAGATATGCAATTGCCTTTAAAAGACAGACATTTATTTAGAGGCCAAATTATTCAACAAATTTACTAACTAAACTTAAGAATAATAATTATTTATGTCTACATTTGCATATCAACTATAGTCCATATAATACATTTAAATGTTTATATTGCATCATTATTTTTTGAGTAAGTTTAAGGTGAAAGACAAGAATCATTCACAAATTTCTTTATAGGGCCAAGCCATTTTTACTTAACAAAATATATGCTCTCTTTAGAGGTGATATATAAAAGGGTAATTGATCTTTAAATTTCCTCAAGACAAGAGGACTGTGATGACTAAAGAGTTTCAAATGGTTGATGAACAAAACAGGCAAAGAGAATTGTATTTGGTAAAGTACTGTCTTAAGTATCATTTTAGCACATTTTGTAGATATTGTACAAGTACTTACTTAATTTAACTGTAACCAATATATCTATTTGTTGAAGGTAACCATTTTTATCCAAGATATGACCTGAAATAATGGTAATATTTACATTATAACAATTAACAAATGCATATTTAATGTGGTCCAAAGGAATGCTGTAGTAACTGGAACAATACTGTCTCAACCAATATCAGATATTTGATGAATATTCAATTCAAAGAACAGAGTTCAGATAAGCAGACAATGGGGTGTGCTTGGCTTAGATAAGTTGACTTCAAATCACTTGCAACTCCCACTGACGACTCTGTGTACTTTCATGTGAGGAAACTACATAAATCAAACATCTTACAGAATGTTGGTTTATCTACTCAGGTACCTGCTCATGCCTGACATAATGCATGAATACACTTTTATTCACTGCTATAACTTTGATCAAGGGACTTTAGAATAGCACGCAATACATTATCTACTAATGGTAGCTGCATTAACCAATTCATTTTGAATTCCTATCATTCATGCAGAAGTTAAAACCCTAAAATCCCTTAAACACCACAACAACTTTGTACTCAATAGTCAATTCACTTACATATTCTTCTTTTGATTAGTTTGTAATCACCAGTCTCCTCCATCACATATCTATTTTGCTTGGCTCAGCTTACAGGCTTGGAACCTGAAATTTTAAGCAACTATTTTTTAACTGTTGTACCATTACAAACATATTCAATTGTGTTATAGTATAAATTTAAATTTTAGGAAAATAATAAGTTTTAGGGTAAATAAATACAGATAAATGCTAAACCTGATAAATTTCTGAAGTAGACATTGTCTAGCTTTCATTTATAAAACTTTCATTATCAATTTGGTCAGCTAACAATAAAGCCTGGCTCTTTACTGGTAGTAAAGGCGGCAGTGACCTTCGATTCCTGCTGGCCAGCAGGTTGCTATGAAAGTCAATGGTACTGGTTACTATAGAAAATCAAATTTTGCTATGGAAGTCAATGGTTCTTATGGAAAGTCTGTAACTGATATGAAAAGAAAAGTCAACAGTTGCTGTGGAAAGATAAAGGTTGCTTAAATTGGAAGATAAGACACTGGTTGCTATGGATTCCACTGGTTACTAACTTACTAAGAATTAAGTTGATGCTGGTAGAGATCATAGGTACAATGTATGTACTTAAGAAATTTATTTCAATGGTTATGGAACTTCCAGAAAATTACTGGTTATTAAGGGAAGTAAATTTCATCATGGAAAGTCATGGTTGCTATGGCAGTCTCCAACTGGTATGAAATATCACTAGTTGCTATGGAAAGTAAATGGTTGCTATGGGAGTCATTGGTTGCTTTGTAAAGTCACAGATTGCTATGGCTGTCACTGATTGCTATGAAAAGTCACTGGTCCCAGTGTCATCATTCCCCCCCTACTTTCTTAATGGTGCCAGTACCAAACAAATGGGGAAAAAATGTATCACATGCACTCAAATTGAGAATTTAACATAATATGTACCAAGCATTCGTGGTGAATTTTCTAATCCAGGGAGACATTAGTACTATGCATAATATACACTTTTAAACCATGTTTTACAAACAATAAGACACTTAAATCTAATGAGTCAACTTGTTTTCCTATTTGAATATTAGAAAACTCATAGTACATAAATTATATAAATGTTCAGGAGTAAACAATATACTGGGTACGAATATGGCAATATGGGTCATGTGGTTAGATTTGTTTTTTCATCACATATCACTTAACAATATGGAAAAGCTCTGCCATTACTGATTTTTTTTACCTTTAAATTTACGAATTCTTGTAGGGAATTTTCAACTTTGACCCTAAGGGCAAAAAATTTCTAAGCAATTAAACTAGCTGTTACAGTTTCCACATAAGCTTGATATTCTAACTTCATGTACATGTTTTTTGTATTACTCAGAATATATGCTTTATCTTATAGTGTAATAGAATTTAAGTCAAGCCAGTAAAATTTTCTATGTCAATTGTCATCCATTAGAACCATTAGGGCACAGTCATACATACATGTGTACAATGTATTTGAAAAAAATGGCAGCTATAATTTAACCCATTACCAGATATATACACCTTTCTATTCTAAGCCCCCCCCCCCACCCTTTTGTTGTCTCAAATGGTGAAAAAAATGCCTTATTTAGGGCCCAAACACCTGTTTTGTTTGAGAAATACTGTTTAAACTAGAACTCTGCGAGTCGGATGTGTCGCCTTGTGAAGAATGTAGTTTAGGAGAAATGGCCAGGACAAAAATGGAATTTGAAAATCAACAAAGGGCAATAACTCAAAAAATAAGAAATGCAGAGCAGCAGTTTCTATGCACGGCACTTCTTATCAATAAGATCTATCATCCTATTAAGTTTCATATCTAAAGCTTTTATAATTATTGAGAAATGACCTGGACAAAAATAAAGTATGAAAATAAACAAAGGACAATAACTCAAAAAATAAGAAATGCAGAGTACCAGTTCTTGGGCACTGCACTTCTTCTTAATGAGATCTATCATCCTATGAAGTTTCAAGTCCATAGCTTTTTTACTTTAGGTGAAATGGCCTGGACAAAAATAAAGTATGAAAATTAACAAAGGGCAATAACTCAAAAAATAAGAAATGCAGAGTACCAGTTCTTGTGCACTGCACTTCTTCTTAATGAGATCTATCATCCTATGAAGTTTCAAGTCCATAGCTTTTTTACTTTAGGAGAAATGGCTCGGACAAAAATAAAGTATGAAAATTAACAAAGGGCAATAACTCAAAAAATAAGAAATGCAGAGTACCAGTTCTTGTGCACTGCACTTCTTCTTAATGAGATCTATCATCCTATGAAGTTTCAAGTCCATAGCTTTTATACTTATGGAGAAATGGCTCTGACAAAAATAAAGTATGAAAATTAACAAAGGGCAATAACTCAAAAAATAAGAAATGCAGAGTACCAGTTCTTGTGCACTGCACTTCTTCTTAATGAGAACTATCATCCTATGAAGTTTCAAGTCTATAGCTTTTATACTTTAGGAGTAATGGCCCGGACAAAAATGAAGTATGAAATTTAACAAAGGGCAATAACTCAAAAAATAGGAAGTGCAGAGTATCGGTTCTTGTGCACTGCACTTCGGGTCATTGTAAGAAGCATGCATACCAAGTTTGAAGTCAATCCAACTTATAATGACTGACTTATGCTCCGGACAAGCTTAAGGGGACGCCAACACCGACGCCGACAACGACGACGACGCCGCCAACAAAAGTAATCCCTATATGTCGCCTTTTTCAAGGCGACACAAAAAGTGACCACTTTTTCGGCGCCACCCACCCCCCTGATCCAAAAGATACATCAGGGGGTTGCCAGAAGGGGTATGTGCCCCCTTCTGTTTGGGGGTTTTGATCGAGGGTGGCAGTCCCCATCATCACTTTATTTTCTGAACATAATTTGGACAATTTTAGTACACATCAACCTCATTATTTGCAATCAAATAATCAATTTAAATAGCAAAAAGTAATCATTCATTTATATAATTATTTATTTTTTATCAAAATTTTGGTTGAATAAACTTGTGACACCAGTGGTCTGTGTAGCAATAAGCATATTGAAGATTGAGATTTCAATTAATTGAGTTTTGGGATGAATTTAATTTAACAAATTAGGCTGTATATCTTGAGCTGTTGTTCATCCCTATCAAGGGGAAAAATCAGTTTTAAACATTTTCCACTTTTAAAGTGAAACATTTTTGGGGTGATAAATCTGGATCTGGGAGAAATCATTAGAAATCTATAATTGTGAGGCACATTTATAAATAAATAAACTACATGTATCAAAAGTGTATAAACCTAAAAGGTCATTATGAGTCTGAAGATTAAAACATTATTGTTAAAATTAAAACAAAATCTAAAACACCTGAATGAAAGGTCAATATCTGTGTATGGTTGGGGACAACTAAAACCAGACTACTAGTCTAGTCAATATACCCTAATTTGGGGGTCAACCTAGAACTACTGGTATAGTAGCGTAGTCAGAGCAAGTTTTAAAACGGAAAAAATCATTACATAAAACCGATTTTATCTTTTTAATTGCAAACGCAAAATTTCGGGACTTTTTATGGTAAGCACTTAAGATTCTTTAAGTTCTTCAGTGAGGTGTTGATAAGAATTCTTTTGCAATTAGTTCTAGGTGTATCTTTACTTTTACTGGCCTATACAACCAAACCCAGACAGCCCTGAATTAGTTTGATTTAGTTTTTTTCTTCTTTTTCCAGGTAGTTGATCTAATATCAGATGCTTTTTTTATCAACAATAAATGCATGTTTCTTTTATAATTAATAAATCTATTTCAACTTAATTCTTTCATAAACGGTAATCTTCTTATGTCCAGGGCAGTCATTGAATTTATGGTTTTGAATTTACTGGCCCGAATTCTAGATTTGAATTTATCCTACTATATATTTAACTACATTTTCTCTAATATTTACACTCAGACTGGCCCTAACAAATTTTCACTGGCCATGGGCCACCGGGCCAGTGCTAAATTCGATGACTGCCAGGGATAAAAAAGTCCACTTGTCTGCTGGTATTTACGAGAAGGACTGAGGCAGGAGCTTGTCCGGAACTTGACGGGTGGAAATTTGCCAATGTGCTAGACCACTTGAATTATCATAATCTATTTGTTTACATTTTACAATTGAAAACTGGAAACAAAGCTTGGTTTTAGGTTATGTATAAATTTTGCACTTTATAAAGCTCTGTAATGTTAATTCTAACTTGGTTACAATGTGCGACCTGCATGTGCCTGACAATGTTCTATATTGATTCTGAACTTAAATTTGAAAATTTTATAAAATGTGTGGGTAAATTCCATTGTCAATGATAGGAATTTGATTTCATATTAACCCACTGGTAGCATAGTATATTGCAGGACGAGAAGAAATTTGAAGCAACTCTGAAAATTGTTTTTGATCCCAGGCCCCGTGTTCACAAAGATTTTAGGATCAGGGTCAAGATCAGGATCAAATTCAAGAACTCAAATATTTTCCATTGTTTATCCACATAGATTAGATATATTTAATATTAATTGATAAAATTGGACTTAAAATAATATGTTTATGGAATTTTAGAATAAACTAATTGTTATTTTTGCAAGATATTGGCATTTTATATTGATCTTGATCCTAAAATTGATCCTTATTTTGATCCGATTATTTCTGATTTTGATTTGTTATTTGTTCATTTTATGCCAAAATAGGTTTGTTTCTTTGCAAATCAGCAAAAATTTACATTTTGAATAAGTACCATTTCATTCTAGCACCAATACTATTAATTTTTGTTTTATAAAACAATGAAAATAAAATCAGGATCAATTGATCCTGATCTTTTCTTAGTGAACATTACATGGGTGACCTGATATTATCCCCTACCGCTACCCCCATCTCTCCAGTGATTGTTATAACCCCAAGAATATAAATAAAAGTCAATTTCCGCAATGCCATTTAGAATCTAGTATCAATAAACTGACACTAGATTCTACTAGGCAACTTTCATTATACCTCTATTGAAATGTAGATCGAACTGGTGTACTTAAAAATTGGTGTAATGAAAATTGTGTAATAGTGTCATGTTGTTGTTGTTATGAATAGCTAGGCTATATAGAAATGTTGAAATGGTAGGGAAGGATGGGGGGGGGGTAGTCTCAATATTTCGACTGCAAGACAGACCGATTTTATAATCTGAAATTTCATAGATGTGTCAAGGGCGACCATCATCTATATAAGAAAAAGCCCTAAAGCGCACAATTTGTTGGGCTAGGGGCGTGGCGGCGGGCCTGCAGGACAGGGCAGACCACGAGACAGGGCGGACTGTGACTCGAGACTAGGCGGACCATATTTTGGGACAGGGCGGACAGTCACTACCTATACGAAAAATCAGCATGGCTTTTATGAAAAACAGGACCGATTCAGGCCTGTTTTGAACCAGAATTGGCAAAATCAGGGTGAAATAGACCCTGAATTTTCAAGAAATCTCACATGGTATAATTCAAGTTTTTTCTACCCTGACATCGTCTTCATTTTGGTAAAAGACCGGGTGGAGGCAGGAATATTTGCACTTTGAAAATATTTTGACACAGATTTTACTGACTTGGAGAAATATAAGCAAAATCTACCCAGATATTTCAAAGTTAGAAAATTTTCAAGAACCAGTTTCAATAAAGTCTTAAAAGTTCTTCATTTCCAGCCTGATTTTTCTTAGTTACTGTACTGTAGACTAGATTCTAACAACAAAAAACTCACCAAAAGCTACAAAATGTATCCGTGTTCGTTCATTTCCCCTTCCACATCACAAATATCCCTTTTGAAGTTTGTTTTCTCCGACACATAATCTTTTTTGATGACCGAATACACAGAGGTAATCACACAACGGGGTCAACGCAGTTGATGACGCAAAATTGGACGACTTCATTTTCACGCCATTGAAGGGGTGTCCAGTCCGATGACAGTGTGTAAACGTTTTAATGATATTTCTGATGAATCAACATTTCAATTATTCATAATTGATGGAAAGGATAATTTAATTATTCTATAAAACCTGGGACAAAAGATATTTTAAGTCACAGATAAACGAAAATGCTGTCACGAAAATTGTGTCTTGCATACGGAGTACCTGACTCCCCCGTGTAAGCGTAAAGATTTGTCCGTTGCCGCTGAAACTCTTTGAACTTCGAGCGTGTGCCTGTGTAGTTTAAAGACACGCAAAGCTGAGGTTTAAACGGGTAAATTAATGTGATCTTACAAGAGGTGCTGTAGACTTGCGGGTTGTTTCTTAAAGACTAGGTGAGTAAATTTACTAACTACTGTACATATATATAGATTCTGATAATTTTTTTAATTTTGTCATTTATTTACAAGTAGATTTTTTTATAGATAGAATTGGTGAGTTTTCCCATTGATTTTACCTAAAATATGTTTAATCTTGTTATTCATGAAATAGAGTGAAATAAGAATCCCTAAAGAAAAATTGCAATATAGATCTAATATCAAAATATTTAAATTAAAACGAATCCATTTTTTTGTAATATTGTTCTTTTTTTAATACTTTGATTTAGATATAGATCTAGTCTGGCCTTAATTTTTCAGAAAGATGTAGTGGCTCAAATGTCTTATAGTCTTATCACAGTAAATACTTCAGTGACAGACAGCTATGACTTCAAAACAGGGATTCAGACTGAAATACAAAAAATATGTCAGTAAAGATCAATAATTGAAGAGATTTTATGGATGGGAGTGGGACTCACATGAAATAGAGTTTCCAAGGTATGTATAATTTTTTAAAGCAATTTGCTTGAACCATCTTTAAGTACCAAAAAAAATAGGGAATATTTTGTGTGAAACATTGTTTAAGAATTTCAATATTGACAACAGTAAACTTGAGTAAGCGAGTATTAGGTTTCCTTGCATTATTTTCCTCACTGTACGTTTGTTTGCCAACTCTTGTTGATGATCAGTTCATGAACTCTCTGGTTTTACACTATGTTGATTAATTAATTAATACATAAACTGTAACTGAAAAGCAAATTTTACACTAAAGCACCAAAGTTACAATGAAAAATGAAGAAGTAACAGAAATAAAGCACTGAAATGATGTATTTATAAAAAAAAGTATTTGTGAACACTAAATTCCTTAATTTTGAAAAAAAAATCAGTATTTTTTGCTCTGAAAAAGAAAATATTTAATTTGAAATAAATTATTTTTTTTTAATTTTTTAACATCAAGTGGACCTATGAGTTTATTAAGATAATATTTAAGTTTATATGAATTTATAACAAATATAATCTTTTGTTATTCTGTGTTTATAAACTAAGGGTACAGAAGGGGACGGATGTTACAGAATTGAACTAAAAATTCTTTTTACAGTAGTACGAAACTTATCTTGTTCTTATGATGCATGATAGAGAAGTAGTAAGCTTTGCAACTGTATAGGAATGTTTCACACAACAAATAAAATACCATTTAAAAAAAATAGAAGAAACAAACACAAAATCCATAACAGGATAATTATATAGAAAGAGGTGCAAACGATAGAGATGTTAAAAGTATCTTTGTGATTAAAATTGGTCAATTGTTAAAACATAAATTCTTTAGCCTTAAATAGTTAACAAACCAACAAACCATGTATCCCAGCCCCTCATAAAACAGTGGGATATGGATCCTAACTCTATACACACAGAAGGGGCTGGCACTTTATTGGAAGTTTATGAGCTGTATATTGGGAGCTGCGTAGATTGTATATTTGGAAGTGTGATATATTACAAAACAGTAGGGGTGCCAATTAAGCCCTTAGGGTGATATATATTATGCTTAAAAACAGTGGGGGGAGGGATTACCATTTTCATACAATTTGACCCATTTAATTATTGTTAATAAAGTGAAAGAAACTTGTAAGGGTGTCTACCAAGTTTGTTCAAATAAAAGCCCTGGGGTCAAAATTGGCCCCGCCCCGGGGGTCATTGATTTTCCTTATATGTGTATAGCAAAAACTTAAAAAATCTTCTTTGAAAAAACCCAAATAGCTAGAGTTTAGATATTAAGCATGAAACATCTTCTAGTGAGTGTCTACCAAGTTTGTTCAAATAAAAGCCCTGGGGTCAAAATTGGCCCCGCCCTGGGGGTCATTGATTTTCCTTATATGTGTATAGCAAAAACTTAAAATCTTCTTTGAAAAAACCCAAATAGCTAGAGTTTAGATATTAAGCATGAAACATCTTCTAGTAAGTGTCTACAAAGTTTGTTCAAATAAAAGCCCTGGGGTCAAAACTGGCCCCGCCCCAGGGGTGTCATTGTTTTTAACTATATGTGTATAGTAAAAACTTAAAAAAATCTTCTTTTAAAAAGCCCAATGAGCTAGAGCTTAGATGTTTAGCATGAAACATCTTCTTATGGGTTGGGGGGGGGGGGGGGGGATGGGGCTATATACAGGTGAGCGACCTCAGGGCCATCATGGCCCTCTTGTTTTGAAAATACATAGATTTATATTGTGGTTTTTCTTTGTCTTAGTAATGCTTAAATCAAAATGATTTTTAATAAACCAGTATCTTGCAATTAATTATTACGCAGCCGTTTTTTGAAACTACCTAAATGAAAATGGTAATCATGATCAGTTGCCCAGCAATATAGGCTACTATTAAAACAAATCGTTACCCTTATTATAGTAAACATTTTTATTCATTTCACCATCCTTTTTATGTAAAATCTTATTCAATTACACAGAATTTTGGCAATTTAAATCTTACAAGAGAAAGGATTAAGATCTTTATATCCCTCTATTATTGTACTTAATCGTATCGGCATTGTCCACCGTATCCCCCAATGACGTCATCCACTAAGGGCGACAACTTGAATACTGTCTTAAATGAAAGGGTCTATTGTGAGGAAATGCCACATTCAAAAACCACAACTATCTTTAATTGCCCACAACCATAACTCTATTTCAATTCTTTTACAAGGTTTCTGTTACTATAACTTTCTCATTTCCGAAGCAGTCTTGCAGTCTTGCGAAGCAGTCTTGCAGTCTTGCGGGGGTATTAATCACATTTTGTGATAAGTCAAGTTTGCTTAGGCCAAAAAATAAATCTTGTTTTCTGGTTCGCCTACTGACTGTATATTTTACCCCTTACCGATTTGTCATAATGACATGGGATTTATTTATATTTAAAGCAGCACTTTGCATATATGTTATCGGTTTATCTGTCAACCCCCAGAAAAATCCCTACCTACTGACTCTGTTCATTTAGGGGACTGTGACCAGAAACAAGTTGTTTTTTTTATGCCCCCGCCATATTTCCCCAACGGTATTACACATCAACTCAAATATGACATATGGATATGTCATGAGAAAATACAGGTCAGGTTTGAATTTAATCATGGTTCGATAATTTTTGGCAGAGTTATGCCCCTTTTACTTTGAAAATAATATGAAATTTTCAGTTTCCTTTCCATTATCTACCCAACGGTATTACACATTCAACTCAAACTTGACATATGGATATGTTATGAGAAAATATATGTCAAGTTTAATTTTCGTCATGGTTCGATGATTTTTGGCAGAGTTATGCCCCTTTTACTTTGAAAATAATATGAAATTTTCAGTTTCCGTTCATTATTTCCCCAACAGTATTACACATTCAACTTAAATTTGACATATGGATACGTCAAAGAAATGCACAGGTCAAGTTCGAATTTGGTCATGGTTCGATGATTTTTGGCAGAGTTATGTCCCTTTAACTTTGAAAAAAAGGAAATTTTCAGTTCCCATTCATTATCTCCCCAACAGTTATACAATTATTCAACTCAAATTAAAGATATGGATATGTCATAAGAATACATTGGTCAATTTTCGAATTTGGTCATGGCTTGATGATAGCTGACAGAGTTATCCCTCTTGAATTTTGAATAAAAAATCAGAAATTTTAAGTTTCCGTTCATTTTCTCACATTCAGCTCAAATTTGACATATAGATACATATTAGGAATAAGCAGTTAAAGTTTGAATTTGGTCATGGTTCCATGATTTTGGACAAAGTTATTTTTCTTGAATGTTTCAGCACTCATACTTTTGTGGAAATGTATGAAGCCATTATTTTGGCTACAAATATGCAATATGCATTTTACAAAAGGTTAACACTGAATAGTTTCAGTGCCTTGAACTTTGTTTAAAAATGGTTTGTGTTAACATTGAATAGTTTTAAGGGCTTTGAACTTAAAATGGAAACAATAATTTGTGCAAACAACAGGGCTCAAGCTAGGTTCAAAATTTAGGGAGAAGTCACTTCTCCCTCCAGCTGATTTAGGGAGAAGTGGGGAGACTTAAGGGAGAAGTGAGGAGTTTCATATATCGATGTTTGTTGTATGTTATCGCAATTATGTTGACTCACTGTTCATATCTTATTAAATGAATTGGATTTGTGTTACAACAGAATATTTAATTTTAATTTAAAACAGAGACATAGATAGCTATTATTATAACTATTGTTATCTATGTCTCTGTTTAAAAGTAGTTTGAAACAAGTAATATGAATGAGTATCATGTAATGCAACCATTGCATTAGATGAAGATAAAAAAAGCCATTGTTGATTCCTATCATGGATCATATCAGAGGTGGATTAACAGTTATTTCCTTCTGATTTACTATTAAAAAGCTTGCGCCGGACATTATATTCATATTCACTTATGTTGTAAAGAAAATAAAAGTAAATACCGAAAGAAACGATCTTTAATTTCACTTCATTTGTAATAAATACAGTGTAATACGCCGTTAATCTTATCAAATTTAACTCGTCGACAAAAAAGGTTATCATAACTTTCATTTAAAATTACCGTTACAGTTATATGTCGAGCGGTTCCGCTTAATTCTGACAATCATTCGATAGTGAAAATTTAATTGACGTTTGATCCGTCCATCATAAATAATTGTTATGTAGGTAGTTGTATGTTAGCGATTTAATGATTGGTTAAATAATGTCGCCTCGATTAAAACGTGAATTACGATTGGTTTCTCGCACGTATCGGTAATCTCGCGGTGGGCGGAGTCTAATTGTTCTTTGAGCGTCTGTTAATTAGACTTTTATGACATGTTGGTAAACAAACGGATTAAAGACATTTCGCGTTGATTGAGATGCATGACAGTCCCTTTTTCCGGCGGCGAGGGTAAACAAAGCAAACACACACCACATGTTATTCACAGTTATTGTTGGTAATCTACAATAATGGATCAATAAAATCAGGCGACTTCATCTTCGCTTTCATGTAGGATGTCGGCGAAGTCAGACGGAATTCGGCGACTATTTCGCCCGAATCGCCCACTAGCTCGAGCCCTGAAACAAATTTGGGACTAATTATTATAACATCTGAAAGTTTTCTAGTTTGCCTTTTATACATGTATTTATCTGTCTTTTAAAGGCATTCACTTGTATCTTACATTAAGTACCAGAATTTGAAAAAAATATTATGTGAAGTGATAAATACAAGCAAATAATAGAATGAAAAAAGTTGAATGAATTCCTTATTTATTTTCAGATTCTGCTGTGAAAATGACTCAGACTGGCAGAAACATAATTGGATTAAACATGGGCATATTCTGATGAAACTTCCATTTGGTTGCTAAAAATTGTTAATTAACAGTACCTGTATAGCTGTAGAGAGAGATGTTGAGAGTGATTGTTTAATTCACACAGGTGCAATTTTAGTGTAAAACAGTACAAGCAAATTACTGTTGAATGAACAAACAAAATTGTGCTATATAACATATGGAAGCAGCTTGTTCTATATATTCTTTTTTATAATAAACCCTACACAACTACAGTGATAAGTGGGATATACTAGAGTCAGATTGTCTGTCTGTCTGCCTGTCTACCTATTGGAGCTATTGAAGTGAAACTAAATAGACAGATGTATCTCATTGCAGTGAAATGTAGTTCCAAGGCATTTAATCAATTGTTTTTTCATATGATAGATCAGACAAAATGTTTTTTCTTCTTTAGTGATTGATTTGTGGCTCAAATTTAGCAATTGAAATTAAATTTGCCTCATAATGGTCTTGAACTTGAATGTCAAATTAGTGTATTTTCACCATTTTTAGCTTGGCATTGTTTTCGAAGAAAAAAATAGAGGTATTGTTACAGTCAATGGCAGCTTTTCCATTGCCGTCCGCAAACTTTAACTTTGATCATAACTTTATGAGCTATTGGTGTATTGTCTTTCTTACTTGGCCATAACAACTTTTGGACAAGACCGTTAAGCAGACAAGATAAACCTGACCTACATTCATAAATGACCTTGATCTTCAAGGTCAAATGTCGAAATTTTGCTTGATTTTGCTAAAAGGGGCTATAACTGTGTTATTTTTTAATGGATTTTCTTCAACTTGAAACACAACAATCTTTGCTGAAAACTTGTATTTAATGCTTCTATCTATTGTCAGTAAATCTTTTTTTTTTAATTTGCAAAATGTTCTGTGCTGTAACATCTTGAATGAAAACTTGTATTTAATGCTTCAATTTATTGTCAGTGAATCTTTTTTTTTTAAATTTGGAAATTGTTTTACGTCCAAACATTTTGAATTAAATCACTGATTTAATGCTTTTGTGTAGTCATATAATAATTCATTTCTTTTTGTTGCTTTTCTCCATAATAATTTGGCAAAAGTGCTGAAAAATTATTTTTTTCGAAGTCATTTTTTTTTAATTTTGCAAAATGTTCGGTGCCCTAACATTTTTAAAAATGCTTTGGTCTATTGTCAGTTAATCTTTGTTTTCAATTGGAAATTGTTCGGTGCCCTAACATTTTTAGTTAAAACATTGATTCAACACTTAAGCCCATCGTCAGTAAATCTTTTTTTTTATTTTGCAAATTGTTCGGTGCCCGAACATTTTAAATGAAAACTTGTATTTAATGCTTTGGTCTATTGTCAGTTAATCTTTGTTTTCATTTGGAAATTGTTCGGTGCCCTAACATTTTTAGTTAAAACATTGATTCAACACTAAAGCCCATCGTCGGTAAATCTTTTTTTTTATTTTGGAAATTGTTCGGTGCCCGAACATTTTGAATGAAAACTTGTATTTAATGCTCCGGTCTATTGTCAGTAAATCTTTGTTTTAATTTGGAAATTGTTCGGTGCCCTAACATTTTTAGTTAACCATTGATTCAACACTTAAGCCCATCGTCAGTAAATCTTTTTTTTATTTTGGAAATTGTTCGGTGCCCGAACATTTTGAATGAAAACTTGTATTTAATGCTTCGGTTTATTGTCAGTTAATCTTTGTTTTATTTTGGAAATTGTTCGGTGCCCTAACATTTTTAGTTAACCATTGATTCAACAATGAAGCCCATCGTCAGTAAATCTTTTTTTATTTTGAAAATTGTTCGGTGCCCGAACATTTTGAATGAAAACTTGTATTTAATGCTTCGGTCTATTGTCAGTTAATCTTTGTTTTATTTTGGAAATTGTTCGGTGCCCGAACATTTTTAGTTAAAACATTGATTTAACACTTAAGTCTATCGTCAGTAAATATTTTTTTATTTTGGAAATTGTTCGGTGCCCGAACATTTTGAATGAAAACTTGTATTTAATGCTTCGGTCTATTGTCATTAATCTTTGTTTTATTTTGGAAATTGTTCGGTGCCCGAACATTTTTAGTTAAAACATTGATTTAACACTTAAGTCTATCGTCAGTAAATATTTTTTTAATTTGTAAATTGTTCGGTGCCCGAACATTTTGAATGAAAACTTGTATTTAATGCTTCGGTCTATTGTCAGTTAATCTTTGTTTTATTTTGGAAATTGTTCGGTGCCCGAACATTTTTAGTTAAAACATTGATTTAACACTTAAGTCTATCGTCAGTAAATATTTTTTTAATTTGTAAATTGTTCGGTGCCCGAACATTTTGAATGAAAACTTGTATTTAATGCTTCGGTCTATTGTCAGTTAATCTTTGTTTTATTTTGGAAATTGTTCGGTGCCCGAACATTTTTAGTTAAAACATTGATTTAACACTTAAGTCTATCGTCAGTAAATATTTTTTTAATTTGTAAATTGTTCGGTGCCCGAACATTTTGAAAGGAAACTTGTATTTAATGCTTCGGTCTATCGTCAGTTAATCTTTTCTATAATTTGGAAATTGTTCGGTGCCGTAACATTTTTAGTTAAAACATTGATTTAACACTTATTATAAGTCCATTTTCAGTAAAAAAAAGAAAATTTAATTTGTAAATTGTTCAGTGCCCGAACATTTTGAATGAAAACTTGTATTTAATGCTTCGGTCTATTGTCAGTAAATCATTGTTTTAATTTGGAAATTGTTCGGTGCCCTAACATTTTTAGTTAAAACATTGACTAAACACTTGCGTCCATCTTTAGTTAATCTTTTTTTAATTTGCAAAATGTTCGGTGCCCTAACATTTTGAATGAAATCTTGTATTTAATGCTTCGGTTTATTGTCAGTTAATCTTTGTTTTAATTTTGAAATTGTTCGGTGCCCTAACATTTTTAGTTAAAACTTTGATTTGATGATTTAGTCTGGTCAATGAAGTAATTCATTTATTTTTCATTTCACAAAATGTTCGGGCACCGAACATTATGTTGTAGCAGAATAATTGTGGTCAAGAAGTGTTAGATATATCAGAAGTTAATTTAGAAATGTGAATTGTGTATGTAAATATTTGATCTGTTAATAAAAATGCTTTTGATATTTCAATGATTTTAATAAAGAATTGTCCATTTATAAAAAATTGCCTTGATTTTTATGTACCAGTTTAACCACTAAAATGACCAAAAGAGCCATAATAAACAGGAATGATTGCACATTCCTCTTTTATATTGTACACTGTTAAAGACAGTTTGGTATAATTTTCTACCAGGGAGTTATTATTATGTAACCCATAGGCATATAATAAAATTGTCTGCTCGAATATTGTGAAAATGGTTTCATTGAATGTCATTAACAACCAGACCTTTAAGGGGTCATTGTCTGAAATTTAATTACTGATCTATATTAAAATTGTCTTCTGGACTTAAAGTAAAGTACAGGAACAATAGGATTACCCTGTGTATATTTGAACGAATTTCAGACATGAAAAATAGAGAGGACTAAAATATTGTTCAAACCCAATGGTTTTATTGCTATGTATTTATTTGTGTAAATAAAAAATGTTAAGAATAAGTAAATTGAATATCATAAAGTCTTGAAAAGCCGAAGTCGTGAGAATTTACTTCAGTATACATATTTGGTTATCAAATTGCAACTTAATCCATTATAATGATTTCGATACCAATGTTTTTACCTGGTCACCTATCAAGAAAGGACATGAATCTATATCAAAGTTATTCAACTTTTATTCCATCATTGAAAATATGTTTATTTGGTAAATTTTCTTCTTTTGTTGTGTAATTGCACAAAGTTAACTGGTCTAAGTCAGTCAATGTAACTTCATATTGGATTGTTAAATTTGATCTCTTTATTAGTAGCTGGGAAGCTGATGCTTTCTACATAATTGTACTTTATTGTGAAATTAAGCTGAAATTATGCCAAAAAAGACAGAGGTATATCAAAATTAGTAACCATTTTCATTATAATAATGGATTGACCTTATGACTAGTCTTTCATCATTGACGGAGAGGAAGTACTAAAATGCAATCCGTATTGGATTGATAATTTTATACCTGTAAATGTGGTTAATGTATTGTCAGGTGACTTTCTGTTATACATATTTATAGCCCCGAATAAATAGTAAACCCGTTCTTTATCGAAATAATACAACAGCCTATACATTTATTTTTTTTTAATATCAAATGTTTATTCGATTCTTTTTCATTTGCAATAAAGACAACAACAAATTAATGACATTTTTCTTTTCATTTAAATGATAATCAAAGCTTCAAAGTACAATGGCCCAAAGTCTTACAATATAATTATAAACATCAATACATATTGATGATTAACTAAAAATGATCACAATTATAAATTAAATAACATAGTGGGTGTAAAGTTAAATCACCGGGTTTATGTTGCAAAATTGTTTCTATTTTAAATTCATAGTGTATTAAGTGTGAAATTAACATAAAATGTTGCATCTGTTTTGCTTTGTAGTCTTTGTGTTCTTATGTTTTGAATGCCACAAACCATTGCATTAAAACATTAAGACAAATATTAAAGTGAAAAAGGCAATGTTATGATTCACTTATATACAAATTTCGATTTAATTAGAAAGACTTTTTTATCAAATAAACCACGGCGAAGGGGTGTAATAAAACCATTTGCTGTAAACAATATTACACTTAGGCTAGTGTAATGACAATTTTACGTGATGTCATTTGCGTTATATACAAACTATATATACAGTAGCGTTAAAGCACCCCTATGTTGGCGTTACCCTCTAGGTGCGTCGATGAAAAATGATTCTTTTCAACTGTAAACCTTTGTTTATTTGGATATGCAATAAATAGAATATGAAATTTATTCGTGTAGATTAAGTACTAAATTAATTGAACTCATTCAATAAAAGAATATTATTCTTGCAAGAGGTTTGCATAATATGATTTCATTCAACTCGTTTAGATTTACAGTCATTTTATAATTGTTACAACTGGAATGAACTGCCAATTATGGGATAAGATTACACACCTCAGTATACATTGTAACACATTTAATGTAGAAATGCATTTATTAAGAGGAGAATTGTATAAATTTATAAATTATGGTCCGGATGTGATGGACAAAAAACAACATTTACTGCAGTAATTAATCATCATATCACTATATCAGAAACATTTCAGTCAGTTTCTACATTGATTACCAAATCTTAGCAATGAATCTTAATCTTTCTCACAACAAAACTGATAATACCAGTAGCTTCGTTAAAGAAAAATATGAACAACCAACACGTGTGTGTCGACAAAGCTGACAACGTTTATCCTATATCAATATGGTAACAGTTTGAACTGTCAGATAAAAAAAAATAAGAAACTGAAAAAATGTTTTATTTCTTTATCTTAAGGTGATAGACTGATAGAGAGACATTGACACTCCAAATACACAAACCTTCTATAAAAATAGTTGGGCATTTCATGATATTTGTCTGTCATGAAACTGGACATTCTGTTCACTTTAATTCTAAGACGAGTAAGATTTACGTTTGTGTATGAATATCTTAGTCATGCTTTGAAACGGACAGATACATTTCAATACAAAAGAGCAGTGTTGTTATGTAGAATCAGATAGAGTTTTATATATTTTACGAAAAATGTTTGAAAATCGGCGTCTCTATTCTACAAATTCGAAAGTAAATTGAGAAAATATTTGTAACAAAAGCAAATGATCCCAAGTTTTAAATAATATTGTATTACTGTTAACGGCAAGTAAAGATTTGCGTATAACAAATTCTGAACTATTTGCCCCTTAGCACAACGGTTCGACCCTCCGATTGCATATTTTATAATCATAACGATCAGTGTATCTTCACAGGTGCCAACCCGTTAATAAAAGTATGTATGGAGGCGCACATATAAAGCTAAACAGGTGTGACATCATCAAAACAATAACATGTAGATATTTAAAACTATATTTTACATAAATATATTTTACAATGAAGCAAAATAAAATGTAATAATTATTGTGTCAATTAATTATGGTAAACATTGAATTTGTTAAAATTTCTTCATGAAACATTTAAAACAACCTTGTACTTTTCAACATATTTATAATTTCAAACATTCATACATCAAAGTTATATCTTTACTTTCACATACTTTGTTTTGTGTTGTATTCTTAACACTCACGTAACATCTGTCTTTATAATATATATACATTGCGACTTATACCTCATGCTGACACCAATAAACATGTGATATTAATACAAAATACTTCACCTAAACACAAGTCATATGAAACTGCGAGTCAATAAGGAATTAAGTGTAGAAAAGGAACGAAAGCAAATATGCGTAAATATACATAATAACAGTTTATTGTCCAAGCTTAACCTTTGTAAACCATCGATTTATTTTAGCTCCAAATATGTTTTCAATTTTTCATAATATAAGGTGTTACATGTATGTCTCTAAAGCCTTTATGAAAATTGGCAGTAAAATAGGTTTAAATATTTTGTACATTTAACTAACAATACACATTTATGTATCTAAGAATCCAAACACAATATTGTATACATTGAGACTTGTTTCACAAATCGTGCATTTTTTTCTATATTGTTAAAATGAACACAATGATAAAAACTACGGGCGTTTATTTGTACATAAATAACAGTGATTGAAAGTGATATAAATAATAATGATTAGATATGCCAAAATGTATGAACTGCTCCATTCCGTGATAATATCTTTAAATAAATATGTAATCTTCATTAAGTAATAAAACCTTGCTATAACAGTCTTAACAAAGAAAAACGAAACACATATACGAGTATATTACAGAAGAATTGTTGTATTTTTACGGAAAAGCGTTAACAGATGGCTTATTTTACTAAATCTTTTATTTTCGTTGCCTAATCTTATTTCTCACTTTCATACAAAATGAATGTCATTATATAAAGAGAAATCTTTCTTGTTATATAAGATTGTTTAAACTTTTGAAAATGTAGTGGACCGGCTTATTGTTGAACTTATCTTCCTTGATAGATATCGGGATTCTGATATGTCCTGACCTGCCCGCTGGTATTCAGACGGTTTAGGTAGGCACAGATAGCAAAGGTACTTCTTAAAATTCTTTCTGAAATTTTGGCTAAATATACTGTAAAGAATCGGATTAGCCGCTGAATTGACATTAGATATGACAATACTAAATACGAGAAACGACCACGTGCCTTGAAATGGTTTTGGAGAGAACGTGTTGTAGAACAGTAAGATTTGTGGTGGGGCGTAACATACAATGTATACAAGCACACTTGATGCCAACATTTTCACGACATCTTTTCGAGCTTTTATCGTATCTGAAGTTTTGTCATGTTTAGGCCGGGTTTCCTTCCGCATCTGGAATCGAGCATGCAGTTCTTCTGTACTGGCGTATAGCTTCTTTCCGATCACAGCGTACAATATAACCTAAAGAAAAAAAGTTATGTTTAACGTAGTTGTTTGTGATAAAAGATATGTAAGAAGAGGTGATATGTCTACGTTTTTTTAATTTGTCGTTTACAAATTTTCATTAACGATGTGGCTCATTTCAGATAGAGATGGCAAAAAATGTTTAAGTTGAATATTGTTACTTTAAGTATAACTTGACAACACTTCACTCTTAATCATTATATGGTGTTTAATAAATGATTACCGCCTCCGTGGTCGAGGGGTTAGAGTCGATGACTTCTAATCCAGTTACCTCTCTGGCGTGGGTTCGATCCCCGGGAGATGCTTTGGTAGTTTAGCGCGGAGGAAGGTAGTCTAGTACTGGTGTAACTCTCCAGGAACGATGGTTAGGAAACTACCTGCCTATATGACTGAAATACTGTTGAAAAAGGCGTAAAATGAAACAAACAAACAAACAAACATAATAAATGATTAATCTTGTTTACCTGAACAGTGACCGGTATAAAGTAGAAGAATGCAAACTGCATGTATTCGAAGAACTGCTGGTACTGTCTTTCCGGAAATGTATTAATACAATGCTTGTATGGGATTGATGGATGTGGATACTTTAATGTGTTGAAAATTGCAGTTGGCAAACCACATGCTAACGACGTCGGCCATATAAACAATATGGCGAATACTATTTTTCTTCGTCCGCACAATATATGTGCTTTTAGAGGGTATACTATTGCAACAAATCTGAAAAAAGAAATGAAAATATCGTCTAATTGTTTATGTTTGATCGGACCTCAGTTAATAAAACTTTTGTACCAAAACATATTTTCCCTTGATATGAATCGAGATATTTCAATAGCTGTTCAAAACTAACTCACTATGTTTCAGGTTTTTTTTAAGACACTACATCTCAAAACTTATAGTGGCTATGTATTTAAATGATTAAAAGACCGATCAAGTAAGGTCAATATTGCTTTAAAAATATGAATATTTAGTATTTCTAATATTCTAAAACGTTAGTTAATCTGTCAGAGATTAGGACTTGTTTAATATGTCTTTTATCGGCATCATATTCTTAATGATATTAATGTTGACTTCAAATAATTTGTTTTAATTAGATATTAATACTATATATGTACATTTGTTTATCAATGCATTAAAAATTATCTTGTTCGGTTAAAAAAGAAAATTTCATTATTTAAAGAAAGTATCGATCGAATGAATAACTAAAGCATTTTTAATAAAAGCTTTGGAACAGTATTTTTGTAGTATATTACTAGACATGGGCACATAATGCAATAAGGAAATTACTTGTAGTTAAGTGTTATCTTTTTTTGAAAACTTTACGTTTTAAAATGATTAACATTATGTTTAAGTTTAACTGGTTATGTATTTGATATTTTAGTGAATTTGTCTGAAATTTAGTCAAATTATTGGACGGTTAGAATGCATTAAAAGCATTTATTTTTAAGTATACGAGTAAGTAATGTAAGTAATATTAATGGAATAATTAGCTTCCACCCTAGAAAAATTCAGTTGATATATATATATATAGTGTTTACTGTACTATAAGATGTAATTATCATTAGGTTAAACTCACTTCTACCTCAGGTCTGACCTCATAACCTTTACTGTACGACTAAATTCCTACAATAAAAACCGCGAATAAACATTTTTACCACATTTTAACATCATTGCCGTTACTGTTTTACTATCTAATAGATGATTTTTAATTATTGGCTTTCTTTCTCTTTTAAATTTTTTGTCAAGAAATTGGGCTTCGTAGTTTGATAACTAATCTAGAGTTTTAACTGCTTTTAAGAGACTTCCTTTTCTATCCAACAATTTAGAGAACAAAACTTGTCAGAGTAAAAATAATTATGTTGATGATAATAATAAGAAATATCCTCTACCTTTCTAGAAGTGTTTGTTATTTTTAATATAAAAGTATCGATATCCGTACAGTAATGACTAGTAAACAGTGTAAAAGATAATTTGGATTGTGTTAAAATGAGGAAAAACATCAAATTATAACTTTCCTGTGCAAAATCTAGACCTGAAATCTAAATCAATCGGCGCTTTTTATGATCACATTGAAAATAAATTTAAATGAAACTATAGATAAATGAATAAAACGGAAATGGAAAGAAGTTCGACTCATGATCAAGGAGGACATTATTTCCAATTTGAAAATTTAAAAAAAAAGTTACGGTACGTCTTTTTGAATACTTTAGGAAATTTGAAAGTAATAATAGTCATAAAATATAAGAGAAATCACTATATTTATCACAACCTATATACCTCGTTACTTTCATAGTTAGGATAATTCTGCACATTTTGACACAGTGTATGCCATTTTTAGACGGTAATGCATTGTGCTACTTATTTTATGTATTTATTTATTTATTTATTTGTTTAACAAAAGTTTTAACTGAGTACATTTTATATATACATTTTTATATTCATTAAAATTAGCATGCATTTCGCCGTGTGAGATTTAAATGTGTAAACTTCATACTCCAGTTTTGCAATCAATGCAATGTGTCTTCATATTTTGACAAAGCCACAGTTAACTAATTTTCTGTTCACAAAGACATCTTTTTGTATCATTACTTAAAACTGTAAATTTATTATCAACAAACTCATCTAAAGAATTAATTGGTTTAGGCAAATATGTTTATTTTGCATCGTGTAATAGACAGAGAAATTAAATTCATTTTTATACTTCCCGTGCTAACCTTTTTGTACTTTTTACATTGGATCTTGTATCACTGTTTACATTATATATACTTTATGGCTATAATGTTGTTATAACATTTATGCAAATAAAATGTTGTTGTTGTAATTGTCCACTTTTCATATCCATGATTTGCCGTTTACATTTTAAATATTTCAAATTGTCATCATATTTTTTTCTTAACATTAATTATGTTTGTATTGTTAATGTAATCTTCATTTAGAATAAGCATATGTGTTTTAAAAATAAGTTTCAGGTAAAATTGATTGTCGTTTGAATAACATGACTACTATTCCTAATACGGTCACATGTTTTTTTTGCTGACAAATGAATACTTTTTTATATAATCTTACTCATTTACTTGTGCTTTTTTATGTCTAAACTTATCATAAAATTTATACATGTATAATTATGACTGTAGCTACAATACCAATTATTGTTTGTACTGTATTATATTGCGTTACATTGTTATTTTTCGCATGGCTATTGAGAAAACGGCACTATATATTTATTTGATTAGCAGGAAAATGAAATATTTTGTTTCATTATGTCACCTATAAAATAAAATGAGTACATTTTTCTTTTATTTGCTGAAGTATTTTCGTATTTCGAAGAAACCATTGTAACAGTCACCGAAAGAGATATACTAAGACACCAATAAAAATTTACGTAATTCGATATTAGTCAGTAAGTGTTATACACATTTGCGATGCTATGAGCCTAATAAACAGTGTATTAATTATATCGTTCCAACGATGCAATAAAAAAAACTTGTACATTGATATCGTTCTAAGATTACTTCTTTTACTTGTACTCGATAAAAAAAGCAAACTTATAATTATGTAAATTCACTACTTTAGACATTGAATGTTTCTAACATTTCAAGCATGAAAAAAGGTCTAATACTTTCAAAATTATTTCTTGGAAATTACTTTATTCATACCATCAGACATATTATTCAACAGTGTATAACATTTACCGTACTCGCCTTTTATTCATTTCAAGATATTTTTCTCTATGTGTTTATCACATCTTTTTTTCAGCATCTGTGATCTTTATATTAAGTTATTTATAGGGAAATTATTCTCGGCGAATGGATAGCAATTAATTTAAATATAGATTAATGTGTAAAAGGACCTTTTCAATCTGTAGTGTATTAATGATTCCCTGAATTATAGGTATTGTCTCCAGGGAATACGAGAGACACAGCTGAATAGAGCGATCATTTCAATTATTGTTTAAAGATCTCTACCAATGCAGCGTATAACAGATAAAATGAGTCTGTTTTTTTCTCATTTATATATATTACTTGAAATGGGAAAATTTACGTAACGGATATATCAACTGATAATTAAACTTAATGATGTTATCTGATCACATGTTGTTTAAAATTATGACTTTTTTCCTATTTCTTTTAAAAGATTGTTCATGGAGAATTCCGATTAACGTCACATTAAGAAATGTAGCAAGATTGCCACCGATTCATTTGCTTTCATTGTTTTTGAGTGATGCTACTACCAAGTACTTATATAGATCACATTGCAATTGATGTCCTGTCGTCTCAAAAACCTCAACACATTTTAAACATGCGTATTGTTGATTTTACAAACAGACAGAATGCTATTAAAAAAAAGATAATACGTTTAAAAGCCGATTATGTCTCAGAAAAATACTTTTTTTTATTTCTCAAAAACTTTGGTATTTTATTTCAATCCCTAACAACACCTCCACCCCCCCCCCGAAAAAAAAACACCACATAGGTAAACTATCTCTTTTTAAATAGTATTTTGTATGGAATTCAAAATACTACTCTGTTTACATTTTGCAACATTTACAACACATTACTGCACATTCAGCGCTATTTTCTATGTTGTTATGAAAGACCAGTCAATTTTTCGACGAAATAACGAGATAAGACATAAATTTCTTGTGCAATCTTTATTTTTAAAAATAGTATTATAAAAAACATGGTAATACACTTTTATTATATTAAATACTTTAATTAGAAGTGAGATTCGTTCATCATTACGGACAAAAAGAGATTGTATGCTTTTATTTTCCTTTATGAATTGAAGATAGATCATAAGTTCTTTTGTCAATTAAAAATAAATGTAATAGTATTGAAAAAAAAATGTTTTGTAATATGACGTTTAAAGTGTATAAATCTTTATTTTTAACATTTTCCTCTGACTTTTTTCTTTCTTTCCTGCTAAACTATTGAAACAGAAATGCTTCTTAAATATTTCCAATCATCTTTGTACATAAATGAAACAGTCTTTGCATTTAAATCATTTCTTTCGTGATAAATAATAAAAGATTAACCTTTTATTTAAAAAATGTCATTCTTGGTACCGTTGAGCGATTACCGTTCTTTCATCACGCGTGTGTTAAATGAAAAATGAATTAGTATAATTCGAAAAACTGTTTGATGTCATAATGATAAAAATACAGTAGGAATTCTATTACAGGCTTCAAAAAGACACATTATTAAATTATCTATTTATTTATCATATCTACAGGGAGCCGTCTATACATTGTTAACCTATGAAAAGATAAAATGTAGCATTCAGTTACAACATGAATGTCAAGTGCGTTTGTAATAAAACTTTTACTTTTTTACGATACCGCATCATGAAGTTATGACTTGGTTAATTGTTTGAGTAACCACAAGTTGTTCGACGTGAATAAAAATGCGTTTGGACGTTATATGTTAATAAAAACGTCGCTGTTTTTGTCATATTAATGAAATATTTATATACAGGTAACACTATTATATATTGTAAAATAAACAGCTTTTGTGTGAAAATATGTAATACAGTTATGATATTCTTTTTAATGTTTGATATCCACATTAAGCAAGTTTATATATAATTTAAAGTGTAAGTTTTTATACTGTTTTTATCAGGTTTAGCATTTTCCTTGTATTTACTTCGTATATATTAATAAGCAATAACATGCAAGTACGAGTAACAGCATTATCTCGCAGAAATGGTTTATGCTCAATTCGCATTGTTTTATTATGATTAAAATTCATAACAGAAAATGTCTTGAATATAACAACATATTGTAAAAATACGATTAAACTATATATAAAATAAAGAAATACGGAATCCCTAAAGAACGTCCAAAACGACAAAATTTAAAATGTTGCGGACTCGGTTTGATTGAGCCTGTTCGTGTACGGCATTGAAAATCTTATTAGTTAATATTTAGATAGGTTTTTTTATAAAATAGTTTTTCCTTTTATTCTTTTTTTCACATAACAACTTATAAAAAATCATTTCCCTTTAATACCTAAAAATTAACACACTTTAAGAAACCTGGTTGTTTATTAAATACTTTTTTGCTTAAAGAAATGATCTTACCTTTCTATACAAACGGAGACAAGTGATAATATTGACACATAAAGACTAACAACAAGGATGAATCTGTTGACCTTGCAAAGTGCAGCACCCAAAAGCCAACCGCGGTTCATCATAAACTGTACAATCTCCGGGATCCCTACCAACATTATCACAAAATCTGCGACAGCTAAGTTCATTATAAAAATGTTAGTTAAAGACTGTCTCATTTTCCTGTCAAATAAGATTACGATTATAACAAGACTGTTACCAATCAACCCGACAGTCCCAATGATGATAAAGAGCATAGACAGTAACACAATGGTTTCCATCGATGCTGGTTCGGGTGGTCCTGCAAAAACCATTGTGTTATTTTCACTGCTTCCATTATTAAAATTACTGAAGTTAATAAAATCCCTATCTAAAGTCGTTTCGTTATTTGTGATGTTGTAATCCTGAGTGTAATTAAATGCAATGTTTGTTGCATTAAGTAATTTCAAAGATGTATTTAAAGCCATCATTTTAAACGAAAACAAATTTATTTTTCTAAGTATAACATGTGTTTAATATATCCTAAATGTCAACTGTGCACATATATTAATGAAAAATAATAATAATGTGTTTATTCACTTTTTTAACCGATAAATGAATGAAATGCAAAACCGTCCGATCTTAAATTTAAACACAAATATTTTGTCCTTGCTCCGCAAATCCAATTCAGTAGAATGAAAGAATTTGTGCCACACAGGCCGTTAGTTTATTTCCATATATCAATATTTCAAAGACAAGCATAAAAGAAACTGAAATTACATTAACGTTATATTTCTTCTTTTTCTGCTATCAATTCATCACCAAATTCAATTTCCATATGTCGCCAGTTATACAACGCAACCTCCTTTATTAATCCTGTTTCCTTACAGTCGATTTTCCAGTTCTCGCCTCTAATAAACTCCGGTTTTCCTTTCAAAGCGAACGTTTAATTTACCACTGCGTTAACTATCGCGAGTATTATAACATACGCATATTCAAATTAATCCGCGATCTATATCCAATAAACATACGGTTATTAACCCGACACTGTATTTATAATACACACGTAAATATAATTCAATTAGTATAAATTGTTTATATTCACATAGTGATCTGTTACAGTCTTCAGTTACTTCTATCTTCCGAATGGTTTTCGCATTTTCAAGATCACTGCAGGGTCTTATCGTCTGAATACCAATGGAGGTCAAATATGATATTGGACTGTCTCTTACATCCTTTCTTGATTACTTAATGCCAAAAGCCTAACATCAGAAATATGTTAAATGTTCGCAAAGAAAAAAAACAGTCCTGCAGAGTCACAGAAATAATTATTATTCTTTATTTAAATGATAGAAAACTATTTTCGGTACATTACATGCCTGTGTGTGTAAAATATGTCTTTATGTGTTTATAAAAAATAACACCAAGTTACTTCACAATTTATAATATAAAGACTCAATTTTCATTTCAGAGCAGTTATTAGATATTTTTCAAAGCAATTTTTACTGTTTATTTGAATTAACTGTGCAAAGAAATTATATGATTATGTTAAATATATTGCATGCATTTAAATAACAAGCTAGATTTTAGAGTGTATTATAGCCAATATTTTTTTTACACTCATTGCTTAGTACTGGTATGTTTCAGGAACGGATTCGAATGTTTCAATAAGCTTATAGTTTCCAACACAATCGAACTAAAATGAATAAGTATAAACTAAACTAATATTTTAAAGAAATAGGAGTCTTTGACTTCATTTTCAATCCTGTATTTTAAATTATAACCCCTCACTTTTTTCGTAATGCTAACTTCCCATAGGCCTATGGTAGTTATTTTACTGTTAATGCAAGTTACTAAATTACTAAGAATTTTGTATTGTTACATAGGTAACAGTATTTTTAACAGTATAAAATCTTGTCACGTTGTCTATTTTCTAAATAAAATGAAATAAAATGGCCGCCATTTTTTTCTCGATTCATTCTTATTTTCGACGTTAAACCCCGACAGGACATCAATTTCTTCTCTGGATTAACTATGACACTCATAAAATTTAGTTTTTCGCACCTTGTTGTGCTTTTCGCGTATAAAATATCTTTTTGTTGAATAAATAAAAAGTGAACATCCGTTTTCAACGGAAGTAATTGCAATGTACTGTAAATAATTATGTGTCAAACTGGAACATGCAGACGATTTAAGCATGCAACAAAGGATTATTTAACAATTTTAATCAGTGAAACGTTACAGATATGGTGGACAGGCATAGGATATCATCGTTATTTTGTCAAAAACCATGCTAAGAATATTCTGGAAACAGAAGGATCAGATTTCACAGATCATAACCGTGTAAATGTGTTAGTGTTTTGTTTTCTAAATAAAACCTAGCTTATTGTATGTTTATGATTTGTAAATATCATCACTTGCTTAAAGAATAAAAGAAAAAGAAAACTTCTCAAGTAGACCTAAAGTACACTTAAAACTTAAAAGGTAAGGACAGTTTAGTTATTGTTACTCTTTGTTTATTTTTGTTAGAGTTAGATTAAGTTGACAATTTCAGATCATCACAGTATTTCTGTTCGGGGTAATGAAATAAATAATTGCTACGCCTCGGGTAACAGTATTTTCCTCGGGATGATATTTTTACTGTTACCCACAAACCCATGTGTTATTTATATAATGTTGTTGTAGATAATCGTGCATATATATTGATCTATATGACCAAAATACTGTTCAGACCATTTTTTATTTAGTTCCAATAGTAACCATTAATCCGATAAAACTATGTTATAAAATAGTAAATGTTTGCTTTGATAACAAATATTTAAAAAATTAAACTGTAGGAATAAAAACAATTCCGTAACCCTAGTACACTTAAAGAATGCAGATGTGAAATTCTTTAGAAGCCTTGATCCGTAGGGGAAATGGAAATGATATCTGTAAATATTTGTGCATTATAAACCATTTTACTGAACAGGTCTTCAATAATATAATTAACTAAACAAATAAACTCACAGCGTACGGTAAATGTTAGCGCTGTTGGAGAATACCAGGTGCAGTCTTGATATACGTACGTAAGAAAATGTTTCTACGGTGGTTAAATATTGTATATAGCAGGTAATAACACATCTCACTCTAGATTTAAACAATGAAAAACAACCATGTAAAGATATTTAAATGTTAGAGAAAAAACGTGATTTCAAAAACTCCGTTATCAATGAACAACAAAAACTAAACCTTAAAATTTTACTTATACAATTAAAGATATAAGAAAATATTGAAACACATTTCTAGAAGACCAAACTGTCATCATTACAAATCAGCAAAAATGGCAGATGTTAAATCGAAATTACAATAAAACTAAAACTTTTACATGTTCATATATGTAATTTTTTCTCTCAATTTTTCGTTTTTCTAATTCCATTGAGCAACCAACCAGTATCTAGTCATATCTAGTTATATCTCTCTGTTTATTGTATTTGTTATTGAAAATGATTAAGGCTTGTAAAACAAAACCTTATTTACCTAATATTGACTCAAGTGCCAGTAATTTTGATGGTCATATACACAATTTTGAAAAGGTTTAGAGCGCATTTAGAATTGATGGCGTGTAGTAGCTAGTAGAAATAAAATAATTTAACATCTATGACGTTTAGAAAGTACTGAAAGAGTATCAACCATCTGAAGTTTAGGGGAAAAGAGATAAACATATTCATTCCGAGATGCGCACGAAGTCAAAAAAATGAACGTCTCCCGAGAGTTATTCTTGAACGTTAATTTATCGCGTTCTTAACACTCTTAACATATGAAAAATAGATGACCCTATAATCTAATTATCTGAACAAATGAGCATTACCTGTTTATTTAATGAGTTCGCTCATATTTTTTTCGTACAGGTGTGAAAAACATTTTGTCTTTTTGTTAATTACTATTCTATTTTTTAGCTATATCAAAACTTGAATAATTCTGTTATCAAAATTCTCAATGATAAAGGCTTTAATTGTATCGAGAAAAAAAATAAACAAAAACAACAACAAACAAACCACACACACCATTTCCAAAGTGTTTTAACTAGAAGACTAAATATAAACGAATTTATAAGTTTTTTAAGATGCATAACATTAAAACAAACTATAAAAATCATATCATTCAATATAGTTATTTGATTTCATGATTTGCTATGTATCTTTTTTATCTGACGACAATAATATATATGATGATGAAATTAAAATTAAATAGCATTTTGCCCTATAATAGTTATCACAGGTGACATAAAACAGTGAATGTTTAGCAAGATGCCAATGGCCATATTAATGTAGTCATAATGATGGAAGATTCTGATGCTGCTTGAAGCAATATCTATTATTATAATATTTATCCTTATTAAAATCTTATAAATATATGATGAAATAACAAATTGTGATTTTTGTGTCTAAATATGTGATATTGTACTTCAACAGATAGCTCAGTTCAATGTTCTCTAAGGAACAAATTCTTTTAATGTTTTTCCCAGTTAGTTATAAACAACCTGAAAGAATCATTGATCTTAAACGATAACGGAAATTATAATTGTCAATTCTTTGTACTCGCTATTACTTTTGAAATAAGAAATGATGTGAGGACAATGACTTTTGTCATATTAAGGATTACTTTTTCTTACTTTTGATACTTTTGCAAGTGTTTTTTATCATTATAAACCCTACTAAACTCGGCGGCTATAAATTCAATCGTTGAACGTTTGTTTTTTTTTCTAACACAGAAATATTAAATAAAATTTAGATAAACTGGATGTTTTATTAGTTACTAAAATGTTTAAGGTGGTTTATTTTCAAATGAGGTAATACATGTTAATGTCAATACGTTATCATGTTCTTAAAATAAGTATTCTCTGTAAAAAACAGAAGTCACTCTGCAATGTTATAGATCTGCTAGTGTGTATAAATGTGGTATGAGACTTAAAGTGGGAGACTTAAAGGTTACCTAAAACATCAAAATAAAAACCGTGATTCGAACTTTTGTATTATACATTAACATATTCAGGGACAGCTGTGTTCAATGCATGAGTGTTTTTATGAAAGTTGTTATGTATAAAATCTTCTGATGGAAACAATGAAAAAAAGCTTAACAATTATTTGCATGACAACTTCGTTTCGTATTTGAAAATTTCTGTTGCTGGGTATCACTTTCACAATTAATCGGAGACAGAATTAACGGAATTTCCTGTTATATCACCAATTTCATATACCATTACACTTATTTTTATGTTTCACACTAACGCTCAATTTAAAAACCATTGTATAAAAAATAAAACATTTACCTTAAACTGGACAAATATTTTAATGTTTAACAAACAGAGAAGTAACTTAAACGTGATGTTAAATACTATGTAAACTTAAAATATAAAACATATATTGTAAACACTTCTTGCATTTCAAAAACAATCCATATAATGCATTAATTAAATTGTTGAATTTATTGGTTTTTATTCCCTAGGGTAAATTTTGTTATTTTGTTTTAACTAAGGGATAAGATACTCATTTTGTGTGCTATGCTATTTACAGAGTATCACATTTATGGGATTTGAGCATATAACATTGAGCAAAATAATCAATTTAAAGAGCATAAGTAGAGAAACCATGCCTTTGCTTAATTTCTGACTATCATGTGTCTTGACCAACGTAATTTTCATTTTGTTTCCGATATGACATAAGTGACGGGACAGTGGATAGTACTGTGAAACAATGGCATAAACCACTTGACCTGCAATCATTTTGACAAATGTATCCTCTTGATCTTGTTTAATCTAAAATGTTGCAATTTTAAATTGCCCAAAGCAGCATTACTTCTTAATACATGTTGTCTAGACGATGATTATGTATATCAATTTAGTTTATAAACAAATGTTAAAATGTTCCAAAGAAAGGCATAATGAATTGAATACAACAAATTGATCGAGATGATTTACTTGCTGCATATTGGAAAACTTATTGAGTAATTTACATAAATGTCTAGTAGACTGAAGAAAGATTAAAGCATCATTGATGCGTTATAAAATGATCCCAACTATGTCTTAATGACTCCTTGCAACGATGTATCACATTGTATACACCTTAAGCGATTATTTGTAGCTACATAATGATCAAAACAATTCTGAGTTTT